TTGTAGACGTACAAAACACCAAGCATTAATGTATGCAAATAAATTATGCTTTCAAGTTTACAGTCATATCCCTTATCAGCAAATCTTGTTACATGTGTAATTATGTTCTGTCAGAAATGTATTCATTCAAGGTATTTTTTTGCTGATTTTGGTATTCATTTTCTAGTTTGAAGATATTGCATACAAAGTTGGAGGTGAAAAGAAAGGAAAATCAAGCACAGGAGAAAAGACAATACTCAATGGGGCAACAGGTATGGTATGTCCAGGAGAGATACTAGCTATGCTGGGTCCATCAGGTAGTGGGAAAACTACCCTCCTTACAGCACTTGGAGGCCGTCTTTATGGTAACTTGTCTGGGAGGATCAGTTACAATGGCCAGCCTTTTTCGGGTTCCATCAGACGTCTAACTGGATTTGTCTCACAAGATGATGTTCTATATCCTCACCTTACTGTAAAAGAAACACTTTTATTCACAGCATTACTGAGACTACCCCAGAGACTTAGCATGGAGAAGAAACTGCAGCATGTGGAGCATGTTATTACAGAGCTGGGGTTAACTAATTGCAGGAATAGCATGATAGGAGGGCCATTGTTTAGAGGAATATCAGGTGGGGAGAAAAAGAGGGTAAGCATAGGTCAGGAGATGCTAATCAACCCAAGCTTACTGCTGCTAGATGAGCCTACTTCAGGTCTGGACTCAACCACTGCTCTACGGATCCTAACCACAATCAAACGGCTAGCAAGCAGAGGAAGAACAGTGGTAACCACAATTCACCAGCCATCTAGCCGGCTTTACCATATGTTTGATAAGGTAGCTTTGCTATCTGAAGGCTGCCCCATCTACTATGGCCCTGCATCAAATGCCTTGGAGTATTTCTCTTCAATTGGTTTCTCTACATCTGTTACAGTCAATCCTGCTGACCTGATGCTCGACCTTGCTAATGGTAATTTCATATTCCAACCTTTGTGTGAAAAGCCTTATTCCACACATACAAAGGCTCCAAGTCCATTTATGACATGTTTAAAGAGGCAAATAATCCTCATTTCTTCAATCCATTCTTCTGTTTTAGCTCACATAATGAAATCATATTTACCAACTCTCGACATGTTTTACATTCAAATTCCAAAATTTCAGGTATTGCACCAGATTCCAGGCATGAAATTGAGCAATGTACCAATATGGAACAGGACCAACAATCTATACGAGAAATTCTATTATCTGCTTATGATAAGAACATCTTGACGAGGATAAAAATTGAGCTATGTAGTTCAGATGCCAATGACTACAGCCATTCCAAGGATGTTTTCAGAAGTAAGTTCCCAATTTCTCTATGTAAACTGCCTGCAAATCAAATGCTGCAGCTGCAGCAGTTTCTTAAATCCTCATTCTAATTGGTGAGCAATCATTGGTTGTCTTGGCATTTGATGGTGCAGGAACTCATACGAAAGCAGAGCAATGGTGCACAAGCTGGTGGCATCAATTCAAGATCCTTCTTATGAGGGGGCTAAGGCAGCGGAGATATGATGCCTTCAACAAGTTACGAATATTCCAAGTCCTGACTGTTGCATTTCTAGCTGGGCTTTTGTGGTGGCAAACTCCAACATCCCATATTGCAGATCGAGTAAGAGCAATTCCTGCATGCATGCATTTAATCTTAAAATTTATCAAATTTTGTTCTTAAACATTCATTTAGGAGCTATATGGTATATACCAAACAAAGGTCCCACTAATGGTCAAATCAGATGTGTCATGTAAATTTCACACCACTGCAAACTTCTTGCTGGGGTTTACCCAAATGGTTCAACCTATGCTCTATTCACAAGCACCAGCTAATTCTGTGCTGCTATAGTGATTTCTCCTTCCTTATGGACAATAATGCAATTTGATTTCGTGCATGCAGATTACAATGTTATTCTTCTTCGCTGTGTTTTGGGGCTTCTATCCACTCTACAATGCAGTTTTCACATTTCCTCAAGAAAGGGCAATGCTAATCAAGGAAAGATCATCAGGAATGTACCGCCTTTCATCCTACTTCCTAGCTAAAACAGCGGGAGATCTACCACTGGAACTCGCATTACCAATAGCATTTACCTTCATCCTTTATTGGATGGGCGGGCTCAAGGCCGAGCCTCTCACCTTCATCCTCTCCCTTCTAATAGTCCTTTACAGTGTCCTCGTTTCCCAAAGCCTCGGATTGGCTTTCGGTGCCATACTCATGGATGTAAAGCAAGCCACCACTTTAGCATCAGTTACAACTCTAGTCTTCCTCATTGCTGGAGGATACTACGTTCAACGAATCCCCCCTTTCATTGTCTGGTTGAAATACTTGAGCTACAGCTACTACTGCTTCAAGCTTCTTCTAGGGGTTCAGTACAGCGAAAACGACTACTATGAGTGCTCAAAAGGTACATACTGCCGGGTCGTAGATTTCCCCGCTGTCAGTTCAGTTGGACTCAACCATTTGTGGGTAGATGTATCTATTATGGCAATAATGTTGGTAGGCTATCGCCTTATTGCATATCTAGCACTCCACCGAGTACAATAAATTAACTAGGTTTCAGTAGGGGACCACACTGTCACAAATGAAGTTTGAACTTGGAAGAGTTTTCTATTTCTATATATCTTTGTCAATCCATTATCAGATATTGTTAATCCACATTCTGAGAACTATTTTGCATAAGACTAGCTCAACAATAAATTAGTTCTTTTAAACAAAATGAAGATGCATAAAGAACAATAGAAGCAACTTACCTTGAACAGCCATTAATCAATCTCAGTTCTGCAATTGAATTGACTTCATAAACAAAATCTGTCTAAGATTGATGCCATCCCATTGTGCAACATTAAAGCAAACAAACAAAAGAGAGAGAGATAGAGAGGATAATGACTAATGAGGAATTAGCTTCAAATTGCAACCCATCGGCTTATTTTATAACACATGAAGCGTTTGCCATAGACACTTACATTTTCATCTTTGTAAGCGATCTCATATCCCTCTTAGGATGCAAAGGGAGCCGGCGGATTGAGGAATGAGATTAGGCCGCCATTGATTCCCACGCTGGCTCGGAGACTAACAGTATCATTCATGGTTTAACCCCGAAATGGGATATTTATATCCATTGATCAAATCGCGCCAAAATACTCTTATATCCATCCTCACATTTACCTGAATTTACAACATTAATTAGACCGTCTAAGAGCATCCTCAATTGTCAACGTTTTTTTTTTTTTTTTTGGTTTTAGGAAATCAAGTAGGAGAGCGCGAAGAGAGAAAAATAAAAGAAAAGAATAAAAAATTATGACAATTTAAAAAAAGGATGCAATGGTTAAAATTTCAGACGTATGACGGCTACTCTGAAGCGTCCCTTCCCACGTGTTCACGGGGAGTTTGGGATGCGGGGTGTGCTTTAAGCGTGTTCTCTTATCTTTGTTTTTTTCTCTTCTCTTGCAAAAATTAAGGTCTCTAGAGAAACAACAAAAACAATACTCACATTAGTTAAAAACTATACAATCAGATTTTAACTTTGCAAAAATCAACATAAAAATTTCTATTCGAGATGCTCTAAAGTAACACTATTGTGCTTTGGATTACGCCGAAAGTCCACATTTGAAATTATGGGGTCCTCTTTTGGTTTTGTAAAATTAAAAAAAAAAAAGTTTCATCTTTAATTTTGATGTAAGAGGTTATTAGATTTGTCAAGTAATGAAAGAAAAATGTTATTTGCTACATCAAGAGTTTACGGGATAGATTGATCGTTTACTTACCAATAATGTTAATTGTACAAATTTTTAATATTAGATGCTTGAATTGCATAATTTTGTACAATTATGAAAATTATGATATAATTTATTACTTTTACGTTTGACATATATATAAATATATTATATATTATTTAGTTAATGTATTAAATATATTTTCTTTAAATTTGAAAATATATAACATGACAAAGATTACATAATTAATCGGTTCACATTATCCCTTTTTTTTTTGAATTTAAAAAATTCGATTTAAAATTTTGGAAAATTACAATTTTCATTTTTAAATTAAAGGGTAATTATGGGTTATGTGGTAAATTTCATCGGATATAGGTATTCGTATGTTTTACTAAGATTATAACTTACCAAGGGATCAGAAAATTGCGACCGAAGGCTAGGGGTTCCCGGGCACGTAAATGTTTTTGAGAGAGAGGCCAAAAGTCATTTTCACAAGTGTCTAGTGGGTATTTATAGACAATAGGATGAGACACAAGCCGGGAGGCCGGCATGTACGCCACGTGTCCTCCATGCACTTGGCGGTCTCGGGAGCTAAGGAGAAGGTGTCCACGTGTTCAAGGATATCTAATTAACCAATGACTAGTAGGCTCGACTTATGCGTATATGTTGAGGTTCACCTCTAATAGCTAAGTAAATGGGCTCAGGGTTAGTTCAAGCCGGGCAATAAGGTCGGGACCGAGCACATAATAAGAGGTACATGAGTCAGCAAAGGTACTAAGGGAAATTACCTTGTGTCGGGTCGGGTCGTGGGCTCTGCTCGGGTCAGATCATGTCGAGGGAAGGTTGTCGCTATCTATAGAGTCAGATTCGAGTAGGTGTACAATACACATGTCAGTACGTCGGGGTACATTCCTTATCAATAGGATTCGTTTATATTTGTTGGTCATGCTCACTTCTCGTCTATAAGTAATAACTGACAATACAAATTTCGTCATTTTTCTAATAGGTAATGCGAACTTCTCGTCCATAAACTATAATTGACGTTGCAAATTCCATCCATAAAATTTTGTTAGAAAAAGACAAAATTTGTAACATCAAGTTATAACTTAGGAATGAGAATTGAGCATGACCAACAAGTATGAATAAATCTTACAATTATCTTATAACTTAGGAATGAAAAATATAAATTTTCTTAAAATTTATTTATATTGTTCAATTTCCTCTATTTGCATATTTCCAATTTTATTTTTCCTTTTTTGTTCAGAAAAATTAATCAGGAAAAGAAAATTATCCCGATATACACATTACACACCAATCCCCTTGGTTTTGCCCCATTCTATCGTATTCGGACCCGACCCGGCCGACCCACATATCCGAACCCTACCTAGTTCCCCCACCCCTTCTCCCACTCTTCGCATCAAACCCCCGAGTTAATCGACGGTCCAGATTCGCCGACTATAGTTTCCGATTTCCGACGTTATTTTCCGGCCACGCCTTCCTTGTAAGCACAGGTACATGCATGTTTACGTTTAGATTCAATTTCTGAAGACGAATCGATAATTATGGCCGCTTCGGACGATGAAGATGAATCCCTCGCGCAATTCCTTGAATCTGAAGTCCTTGCGTTCTCCGATCAGGTAAAACTTTCGAATTTTAGATTTAGTAAAAAGATTTAATCTCTATATTTCTGTACATGTCGGTATGCATATGCTCTTTTTCCATATGCAAAATAAAGATAATTCTGATTTTATCGTTGAGTGGGTTTATGCATCAGCTTATAATTTTTCTCGATTCCAGCTGCAAGTTAAAAAATTTTATACGATTGGGAGTGTTGGAGAATTGATGCACTTTATATATTTTACCTATAATGATTATGAATTATTATTCTCATTTTCAATTTTTTTTTTGTTGTTATGCATAGTAATTTGCTTGAAAATTATGTGAAATGTATTTTGTATTTTTTATTTTGGTACTGAATGTTCATAAGTCATAACTGCCTTTTCATTGGGCATGTGATGTCTAGGAGCAATTAAAAAAATATTAATTTCCTTTTTATGTTATTTATTTTATATCTCTAGCTTCCTACTGTGCCACATAGATTTGTTTGCACGTTCGTTTAAGTTGAAGTTTTGTTATATAATTGAATGTTTGAGCATCTGGCCCAGCAGGATCAAGGGAATGTGTCCAATGAGGAGGAAGAAAAGGGAGGCAGAGAGTCAAAACATATGAGAGTTGAGGATTATGAGGAAGAGAATGAAGATCTCGTGGATGAAGAAGAAGGGAGAGTACTAAAGAAAATCAGAGTTGTAAAAGATGAGGGTGAGATTGAGGGAAAGGAGAAGGAGGATGAGGAACAGAAGAGAAGAGCAAAAGAAATTAGAGTTGGAGAGGAAGAGGAGGAACAAGTAAGACCATTATTCTCATCCCCATCTTCAATTGGGGGTGCATCTGGAATGATCAATACCTTTAAAGATATAAAAAATGGTGCAAGTACTAGCAGTAATACTCTTCGGATTCCCAGGCGGATAGATACTGGAGTTATTAGCAAAATTCCTCCTGAGTTGCTCCATCACATACTTAAATTCCTTTCCTCAGAGGTATAATGAAAAACATAGTATGTTGTGGATAATTATATTTTTGCATTTTGGTTTTACACATGTAGTCGTACACTATGCCACTCAAAGACAAATAAATTCTTGCTTATAAAAGTAGTGCATTTGTTTGCAGGATCTTGTTTCATGTTCATTGGCCTGTAAATTCTTAAACTATGCTGCATCCGATGAATCATTGTGGCGTCGACTGTAAGTACTATTTTCCCTTTTTCTTTGCCTCTTCACCATTCTGTATTCTCCATTCTATGCATCTTTGCGGCACAGATGTCTTAGTGTGTTATACATGTTTGATTAATTTTTGTCAATCTTTGGCAAGATAATGACTCTGGTTCTCTAAGTTTGCAGGTAAAGTATAATTGGAGGAAAAGCAATCTTCAAATACAGAAGAAAAGAAAATAGAAATAAAAATAAATCAAACACAAATTTAGTCCATATACATAGGGGAACAGTAGGCTATCCCACAACAAATGATTACAAAGATGCTTCATTCAGTCTAGATACACCATGTAACCATGTGGTATGAATTAAGGAATTTTACTTCATTTTCAATACACGCCTGTTGCTTGCGTTTAACATAAGTATCAATATATAGAGTTTTATTAATTAAGCCTTTGAAATTCCATGGAAGATTTTCTGTCTGGGTGGTGATGTCAACTTGCTGTTGACTGTGGAAACATGAGGCAGGCACAATGAATGCTCTCAAAAATCTTGGGGTGTTGTTTGGGTGACTGCATACTCTGAATCTTTGCTGTGTGTTTGAAATTTGGCATTAGTGAATAGTGAATGCTCAATGAAAATTGAGCTTCTATTGCACTTGTCTCACAACTGGCATCATTTTATGTTCACTAAGCACTTTAGTCCTCTTCTCTTTGATTTGAGGAATGGTTTTTGTTGCAGGTACTGCATGAGATGGGGTCTTCGTCCACCAAAAAGACCACGGGAATCTGCTTGGAAGAAGATGTACATTCAAGTATATTTTAATTTGGATTAAATTTTCTCTCTCTAAAACAGGGATCACTGCTTTCTATAGCTTGTGCTGGTAGTACCAACACAATTTGAAAATTTCCCATTTTTCTGGAGAAATAGAAAACAAAAATTGAAAAATGAAGTTCATGTTCAGGAAAACTTCTACTTACACTGATGTTTGCTTGCAAAGAGTGAGGCCTTAAATCATGTGTGTGTGTTGTTGTTTTTTTTTTTTTTCTCTTTTCTTTTTGAGTACTACTCACTTTGTTACAATGTAGTATATGTTCATAGCTACTTTCTCAACCTACTGAAGCACAAAGAGTCAATACCGCCCCCACTGGGGTTCAAACCCATGACCTCCCATTTGGGAGAGCCACTTCATGCCACTAGACCACAAGGTCATTGGCATGTGTGTGTTTTACTTATTTATTCATTTGTTCAATTTATATATTCTGTTGAAGTAATTGATTTGGGTAACATGATAATTCCTGCAGCGTGATGCAGAGGATATGGGAGAGTTTGTTAGAAATTGTCCGTCTGAATTCAAAGAATATTACATCCAAATGCAGGCAGCAAAAAGAAGCCAAACTCCTCTTCTGTCACAGGTAAATCAAAATGAATGTTCATCGGAACTTCTTCTCAGTTCTCTTATAAAAAAAAATGGAAAAATATAATGGCAGCCCCAAACTTTAATAAATAAATTTATAAATTCCTGAACTTTAAAATGATCTATCTCCCTGCAATTCTATTTTGTTTGAAATAGTTCTGTTATCTTTAGGGGTTAAACCCTATTCTCCAGGTTTTGAAATTACAAATAGGAATAGGCTGTAATATGAAAATGCTAACAGCAATAATTTTTCTTTTGGGTGAAAAGATCAGAGGATCTACATTTTCTGGCATCCATGGTATTAAGGTGTCAGTTGTGGATTTAATATCCCTCGGAGACTGAAGTTAAGGAGTTTATTAACTCCATAGATAATGAAACTTTTTCAAACTAAATAGAAGTTCTGAGAGTTTAATCCAATGTTTTATATGCATTTATTAAAGTTTGAGGGCTCCCTTATATTTTTCCCAAAAACTATTAATTGATGTTCATTTTTCAATACAATTGGAAAATTATTAAGTGATGTGCTTCAACTTCCTCCCTTTAATTGTCGGTGGTAAGAGTCCCTTCACTCCCTTGTTATATGCTATTCCTATTTACTATTTGGCTTTAATGCGCAGGTGAATGATGATCATATAATACTTGATAAGACTGTTGCTGATCAAATCTCCATTTGGAAGAAAAACAAAGGCCTTAGTGATAAAGTGTTTGTGGATCATGCTTGTTCTGGGGAGGCATGCACTTACTATCAAATCGGTGATGTATTTGTTTGTGAGAAGACTGGACTTGTGCATGGTATGAACTGCTTTTATGGGCACTACTTTTTACTCCTATTTCATAAGTTATGATGAAGAAATGAGGTGATTTTCTACTGTATTCCTGCAGTATGTGACGATACGTGCAGAGAGGTTGTTTCTGATCCAACAAATGGGCTCTTGGTGTGTACTATCTCAGGTCACTGTTTTGACAGAATGTTGTCTCCATCTGAAATAGAACCAGACACGGTAAGAATTTTTTTTTTTACTATTAAGAGTCTCTTTTTAGGAATGATAAATTAAAATATTTATTAGGTGCTCAAATGCTTTCATGAAAGAAGATAAAAAACTGTTTTAGCCAGCATACATAAAACCTTCAATCTTGTTTCCCTTTTGATGCAATATTCGATGGAAATAGTACAATGTTTGCTAGCTTGAAGGAAGTCCATACATTCAGCAAATGGGGAATTTTTTATTTTCCAGAAAAATAGAGAACAAAAATGGAAAATGTATGTTCAAGTTGTTCCCTTCTCTAAACTGAGAAATGGAAGCAAAATTTTCGTTTTCTATCTATCTTTATTACATATAAAATTTTCATTTCTAACTTTATTACATAGTTTTAGAACTATCCCAAATTTGTTTCCATTTTGGAGAAAACATGGGTGAACAGTGGGTTTTATTACTGTTCACTTGTGTTTTGGTTAAATTGCCGAGCTGGCATATTTTAGTTCCCAGTTCTCCAACTTTTGTTTACTATTTGGAGAATGAAAATTGTGGGAAAAGAGGAAAATTGGAAACAAAAATCTAAAAATATTTTCCGTTACTAAACAGGCTCTTTACATTCTTTCCTTTTGTACCTAAACTTGATTTTTGGGGTAGGAAGGGTTACGAGAATGAAAAACTTTTTAGTGGGAGTAGACGGAGCATGGATAGATGAACACTATATGAGCAAAATATGGACAACAGAATTACATTTAATATATGGTGTAATTATTTCTCTAATTGAGATGTTTGTACATTTGTACTTGCACTTGTGTGCAAGTATCATGTACCGAGTATTTGTTTATATAAATCTTTCAACTTGGTTGAAGCCAATTGAGTTGCTCTTTCAACTTTTGCTTTTTCCTCCTTTTTTCAAAAATCTAGGAACAGCAGCAGGGTGGTGGGACTGATGAAGCGGAACCATTCATGGGATCCGGTCGATTTGGTAGGGCTTTCTCCTTCATTCAAATTTCAGCGTGCTACCCGCCTGGCACCTACCCACCACCACCTCCATATTTTTAACTGTTGTACTTCGTCTTTTCAGCCCGAGCTTATTTGCTGGGTTACAACTGTGATGATGAGAAGGAACTTGAAGCTGCACTGAGGTTCTGCTGATTCAACTGCTTATATATGTTATATGTATAGGTGTATCATCTTTGATTCCATACCAGTAGCAACATAGCAGTAAAGCGCAATTTTAATAATCTTTTTACTTATTAGTATGATCTTATATTTTTACCAACCTTTGATGTTGTAGTATTATAGCATGCTTGGCTATTTCAGTATATGAGGTTTTGCACCAAGTAATCTAGTATTTACATTTCTATGGTGGATTACATGCATTGAGTAAAGGGAGAAGAGCATATCCATCTGCTGTAGTGTTTGGTTCGAGTTATTTCATATAACTTTAGTAATTTGGATATGGTAAGATTATAATCCATTGTTTGGTTCAAGGGAATGTGAGATTGTTGCAGGGAATATGAGATTCTAAATTTTGTTTTTAGTTCATTTTCTATAGTTTTCATGGTACTTCAAGCTTTGGTTCGAGAAATATTTTGAGGTAATGTAACATTTATGGAATCTCATATAATCTAGAGAAAATAGGTGAATGTAATTCTCGTGAAAGCTGTCAGAAATTAACTAAAAATATAGTTTGAAAACTTTACATTTTCTTGAACCAAACAATGAAAATATGATATTGTTATATTTATATTTTTAAAGTTATGTGTGATAACATAAATAAAACACTTCTGTAAATAACCAGTTTGGTTGGCATGAGTAGTCGGGGAGTTTGACCTTCTCATTAATCTGGCCAATAAAGTCCCTCCTATAATTAAGGCTTATTTAAGACACATCATGATCTGATAAATAAATAAAAAAAAAAACACTCCTGTAAATTACACGCGTATATGCATTGTCATGCGCAAAGTATAAGCTGAAATAATAATTAAATCAAATTATATTTTGATTATTAATGGGCTAAATTAATTAAAATCATATACTCCGTATATATTATATTTAGAGAAATATCCAGTTGCCAGTTGCCAAGATTGTAAAACTAATCAAATATTGTTTATATGCAAATAGTAATTTTTTTTTTTTCATTATTCAATTCAATCAATTGCTAGCACCAACTCCACATGAATTTCCCTCATTGACTTGCAAAATTATAAAGATATAATTTTAAAAGGGAATATATCTCTATATATTGAGTGCTACAGTATTACCTCCCACGAGAAATTGAACTCATAACCTTTTAATTGAAAGAGTCACTCCGTGACTCTATACCACAAAACTATTGGCTATATATACTATTTTGGTTTGGAGTGAGACTATTTTATGTAAAAATTACATAATTAGAATAAAATTAAACAAATTTAAAAATTGATGATTAAATTGGTGAAATCTTAATACTCAAGAAACCAAATTGGGTATAAACTCTTTAAAAAGGATTTCAATATATGATAAATATCTACCGAATATCTCTCACACGTAATAGACGCGTAAGAACGCGTCAATTTATACTTTTGTTGTTGGTCGGAGTACCTAATACCTATCCATTATCCGTTCTTGAAATTCATCATCCGTTACGAAGAAAATCCGTAAGATATTTACTGACTTTGCCCCTGCTATCTAATGCATTTCCCTGTTTATTAACATTTATATAATTGATGAATTGAACTTAAATGTTTATATGTTTATGATGATCACGCGTCAGTAGCTTCACGATCTGTGTTCCTAGAGTCGGAGAATTGTTGAATGTGTTTGCGAATTTTGAGGTGATTGTTCGCTTCTAGTTCAAAGAGTGGTGAGAGGCTTTGACTGTTCTTTTATATGCTTTCTTTGTGTTTTTGTTTTTGTTTTTACTTCCCACTGTGAATGATCAGCCTAATATGCCAGTTTTTGTTGTGATCTTTGGAATTTCTGTGTGTCAAAGCCCTCAATTTCAGGTTTGACTGCTTGTATTCAGAGTTTAGATTGCATATTTCTGAGTAATTAGGTGTAGTACCACATGATTTCATAGAATTTGGAACCGCAGTTTGCTTGAAATAGATATTATCAAATGGATTTTGTTGAACTTGGTTTGGTATGGTGTTCATTAGTAATGTATAAGATAAAATAAATTCAAAGGCCAATAATTTACAGGGGTTGCATTTCTGTATTGACTTTTGTAGTAAGGGGAGCTAAATAGGGTTATGTTTCTCTTTTTGGGTCTTGATGTGCTTTTCCCTGGCTGTTGAGGTTGGAATTTGTTACAGTGAATGATGGGGTGTCTGGGCTCATAGGGCAGAGTTCTGCACATTAATCTGTTGCCAGACAAAGGCTAGTTGAAGATGTTTGATTACCTCTCATACCCTTATTCTGGAATGTAGAGCATTTATCCCTTTATATTAGTTTATGTATCCCTGCAGTGATGTGGAACAGCAGTAGACATTTCGTGTTGATTGTTGATGTGCATTCTGTCTATTACTAGACTAAGCAATTGGTGATAGATTATAGATACCACTTAGTGCTTGACAGGTGATCTAGTATTCAGTATGCGACATTGAATTTGATTATGTTTCTAAATGAGAACAAGGAGATTAAAAAAAACAATGAAAGAAAGAGGAAAGTAATGTTCTGAATCTGATTCCATGCTCACTCTAAAAGAGACAAGTCATCTGAAAACATTCCTTTTCTCATCGTTTCTTATTCACTATCTGATAGGTACTTCTTGTTTTGATAACTCTGAGAAATGGGAGGAGGAAAGGATAACCATGATGAACAAGACAAGGGGTTGTTTTCTCAACTTGGTAATTTTGTTTCTGGACAGTATCCTCCACAACATGGGGCCTATCCCCCACAACATGGGGCCTATCCCCCACAACATGGAGCCTATCCCCCACAACATGGGGCTTACCCTCCACAGCCTGGGGCTTACCCTCCACCACCTGGGTCTTACCCTCCACCACCTGGGGCATATCCTTCTCAAGGCTATCCACCAGCAGGTTATCCTCCCCAAGGATATCCACAAGGGTATCCCACTCCAGGGCATTCACCAGCTGCTTATCCTAGTCCATCTCATTCAGGTAACTTGTAGAATTATTTTATTTGCTTTCTCCGAAGCAGGCTAAATTTTCTGGCATCTTGTGCCTTTCCTGCATGTCATTTTGGAGGATTTTATTCATTTCATGTCCTTCCACTTCTCTTAACAACTATTGTTGATTTTTTTAACACCCCAAAACGTTTGATGTATAGCAATCATGAATGAGGAATCAACATATATGGTACATCTTAGTAATCTTGCAACGAATACTCCACATTCCTTCTTTCCATCCATCATCTTTTGTATTAAATCCTTATTACATTCAGGACATGGATCTGGTAATATTGGGTCAATGTTAGCTGGAGGAGCTGCAGGTGCGGCACTTGGTTATGGTGCTAGTCATTTGTTACATGGATCTTCTCATCACATGCCACACGGAGCTGCTCATTACGGATATGGTGGTCATTATGGTCATGGCGGTCATTATGGTCATGGCAAGTTCAAGCACGGGAAGCATGGCAAGTTCAAGCATGGGAAGCATGGCATGTACGGGCATGGAGGGAAGTTCAAGAAGTGGAAGTGATAAAGTTTGCAACACCATTTACATAAAAACTGCAATTTAAGATTACTAGTCTTAACTTATGTGGTAGTAGAGATAATAATGTCCTATACATAATTGTCCCCTACACAATGTGTTCTATGAATTTATGAGCTTGTTGGAAGTGACTAAGTGAGCATTCATGCCTTTTGGTGGTTTTCTTAGTATTACAACTTTGGTAGTTTTTCATTTCATGTTTGATTTGAGAATGCGATTCAGCCTCCACATTGTGAAAATTATGGGCTGTAATAAAAGCTGCAAAGATTATGTACAGGAGTTCTGCATATAATCCCACCCTCCATTGTAGGTTACATTCTTTTCAACACAACTCGTATTGCTATAGTCTTTATTTTTTAACACATAAGTGAAGTTAAAATAGAAGTGCATTGTGTGAGTGGGGATTAGTCTGAGTATGGTATGGACTTAAAATGTGCCTCCTACAATTAGGGCTTGCTTAGGACACCACCTAACCAAAAAAAAGAAGTGCGTTGTTTGATTCTAAAATATTGTTTATTTATTTTTGCATTCGACTAGTCCTAAGCTCGCATAAGTCATAACCCATGTCCTTCCATGAGTTCCATCTCCCCACTTTTGCCAAATTCGGGAGTCTCTCCAATCTATAAAGTTCCGAAGGCCTAAACTCTAGTATTAGGGGTCTTAGCTTCAAGATGTTGGTGAGAGTTGAACTCCGACCTTGTCACTAGAGTGTTGACTCTAGTTGACCACTTGAACTAGCCCCACGGAGCTTGATTGTTCAATTATTATCAACACCAAAAGAATTACAGTAAATATGTAATTGACTAGGAAGAAAGAATGAGTTTAGGGGTGTTCAATCAGTTAACCGAACCGTTTTAATTGAACCGAATTAACCGAAATTTTTTTCGGTTAATCGGTCGGTTAACCGAACTTTTTAAAGCTAAAATTTAAAATTTTAAAAATAACACCTAAAATAATAAATCCAATTAGAATAAAATACATATCATAATAAATTCATAACAAAATATAAAAGACATGAATTATAAACTCCAAACATCCATAACTTCAAATTAGTATTTATATATATATATATATATATATATATATATATATATATATATATATATATATATTTAAAATTTTGATTAACCATTCGGTTAATTCGGTTAACCGGCCTTTCGAACCGAACTAACCGTTAACCGAAGTTTTAAAATTCTTTTAACCATTAATCGAACCAAAAAAGTTCGGTTCGAAAACGGTTAACCGAATTTTGTCGGTTCGGTCGGTTAATAAAAAATTATCCGAAGTTTGTACACCCCTAAATGAGTTAATACCACATGAGATCCTCTGAGTATAGTAGTTCTTCCACGTTTAATCTTAAACTTTCAAATTGATCACATATAGTCCTTCGGCTTTCAAAGAAGGATCGCAAATTTAGGACTAAACATGACAACTCCACTTGCTTGTGACATTGGGAACGTTATTGTTCACCATGTCTAGCGGTCAGCGAATCTGTAGCTCATTTGCTTACACGGGCGATTAGTTCTTCTCTTGTCGTTGGGGTTTGGAATGTTTTCTCGCCCGGTTGTATTTTGCGTTTCTTTGCTGATTTAATATAAGCTGTTGCTTTTGGTTTTTTAAAAAAAAAAGAGAAGTATATATGGAGAAATACAAATCCTAGGAGGGCAAGGGCAAGAAATACAAATCATAGGAGGGCATTAACGCTGAATTCAAATTATAAGGCGCATTGCAAATAAATATAGTAAACAAGGTGGGCCAAAACATAAATTCATACAAAAGCTCAAGGTATTCCAAGAAACCCTAGCTTGCTGGGCGTATTCACAGTCCATTCCCTGTCTTGCGTCCACCACACGCTCCACAATCTACTCTTCTTCAATCGAAATCTCTGCTACAGGTAAGTTTGATTGTCTCTCTACTTTCTCTATATAATCTATCTACGCCGATATTTTTGGGTTGATTTTCTGAATTTGGGTTTCTGAGAGAACAGATTGGTGAAGAGAGAAATGTCGGATCAGAGATTGACTCGTATTGCTATAGTCAGCTCTGATAAGTGCAAACCAAAAAAGTGCCGTCAGGAATGCAAGAAGAGCTGCCCCGTTGTTAAAACTGGTAATTCACCGAATTTTTGGTCACCTTTATTTTTAATGATCTATCTATGGTGTTGTTTTTCTCTATTCCTGCAATTTGTTTAGTTCTGTTTGCGGTTCTGATGTTCTAAGTGAAGTTTTCATTAAGATTGTTGATTAGTGTTCAGTGCTGCTGAAGGTTGGATATGAATAATTCAGTGCTAAAGTTTGAGCGTTTATTAATTTCACCTTTATATAGTGAGTTTATTCATTATAATTATATGAATGTGTGCCATCTCAGAGAATTGGTGCATTATTATAAACCCACAAAATTTCCTATCAATGTAGGCTTTTGAGAATGCAATTCCTTTTTAGGTAAGCAAAAACTGGCAATACAATAATCAAGTTATTGGCAAAGATTTGCCTTAAAACAAGTTAGATAAAGGTGGAAATTTGTGGTTGCAAAAGAAAAGAAAAACATATTTCTTATTTAGAAATTTATTCTAACCTTGATTTTGGAGCAAATAGTTGTTGGCTTGTCGCTAAAGAAGTTTCCTTCTTAAGATCCAACCGCCATCCTCCTCTCTTTCTTCCTTTCGTGAGTTGTATTCCTGTAACTTTTTCTGCTGTCTGATATTTGTAGATTATGCTTTTCTTTTGCTACTATTGAGAAGGAAAACTTGGTAATGTAGCAATGGGTTTAGGACTTTCGAATTTTTATGAGCAATGCTTTATGCCTGCAGGCAAACTTTGTATTGAGGTGACTCCTGCAGCCAAGATTGCCTTCATCTCAGAGGAGCTGTGCATTGGATGTGGTATTTGTGTAAAGGTCTGTAAATAATGTAGCGTGATTGGGAATATTTTGCAGCCTCATATAAACTTTCATATGTTTCCACCTCATTGATATTGTTATTTTCAATGCAGAAATGCCCATTTGAGGCCATTCAGATCATCAATCTGCCAAAGGACTTGGACAAGGATACAACACATCGTTATGGTCCTAACACATTTAAATTACATAGGTCAGTCTGCAATCCTTAAAAAGTAATCAAACTCTGTTCACTATTGAAAGTCTTTGAAAATGTTTATTACAGGTTGCCAGTCCCAAGACCAGGACAAGTTCTTGGCCTGGTTGGAACAAATGGTATTGGAAAATCAACTGCTCTTAAAGTATTAGCTGGGAAACTAAAGCCTAATTTGGGACGCTTCAAAGTAATTCCTCAATCCAATTCATTTTATTCTTCAATTTCAGGTTTAGAAAGTTAGATTGAGTGCTTACCTTTCATCTTATTCATTCATTCTTTTGGCCTATTGCAGAACCCTCCCGACTGGCAAGAGATATTGACTTACTTCAGAGGTTCTGAATTGCAGAATTACTTCACTCGTATTCTGGAAGATAATTTAAAAGTGAGTTCGTTCTTCTGCTTAAGGTGCTTTATAATTGTCTTGATTGGCTGCCGTGTTGATGATTCCTGAGTGAACCTCCCTTTACAAGTCAGAACTGTTTAGATTTTGGAATTTATTCTTTGGCTGTCTGTGCAAAGATGCTGAGGTTTCTCTCCCTTGACCTTGCATGATGGGGGAGGCTTGTGCACCAGTTCCAACTGTTTTATATCAGCCTTGCATAATGGTGCACTTTCTCAGAGATGAAAATCTACTAAAGTAGAAGTTTGAATATCATGCAGGCCAATTTAGATGGCTCTCATCTTAAAGGTCAAGTTGTGCTGCTGGTGTTCAGTCTTTCACTTTTTGGTTTTTTGCCATTAGTTCTTCTCCATAGAGCTGATGTGGCTCAGCAAGTTATCTTTCGGCCAATAACTAACCCCCACTGAGTTGTAAATTTAGAGATAGGCTCTGGAATTCTTAGAAATAACTAGTATGATTCAGCAACATAGAAAGATAAGGAAGGTAATGCAATAATATTGGAGAGAAAAGGATTCTAGGGTTAATGGGAGCCTAGTGGGCGCAAAATGCATATACAGGAGTCAATTTAGTCTAACACTGCCATTGCAACTTCAAAAGGGCATATTTATAAGAAACTCTAGACATCATGTTGCCTTAATATGATGAAAAAACAATAATAACTTTACATGGGTCTTATATTATAGCTAGAACTATTAAATCACACTACATAACAAGGAAATGAATATTGAAACTTATTTTACGATTGCTCCTGCACTACAGGGGGATAGTGCCTGTTCTAGACTGTTCGTATTTGCTATTTGGAAGTTGTTTGATTTAACAATTAACATTTAAAATTACATTGTAAGTAGTTGGTGGGGATTTGACAAGTTTACTTGGTTAGTTGATCTTATACTGTTTTTTTACATACTGATGGTTAATTGAATTCATTGGCGTAGCTACTTGTTGGGTACGGTAATTGTCTAAATAGAAAAAACAAGTGTTATTATGCCCAAACCCTAATTTTTTCCTCCTGAAAAATTTCTAAAATAGCCATTAGTTTTGTTACTCTAATTTTAGCATTGATAAGCCAGCTTTTTTACCAAAGAAGATAGTGAAGAATAAATTGTGCAATCATATGGGAGGCAAGTATGATTAATGATTACTTGTCTTAAGAAATCAAATAAGTATATACATATTTGGCCTGAAAGGATCACTAGAAGAAAAAAAGAGGGAAAATTGGCTAATTGACTATGCTAGATGTTGTTAATCTTATTATGAATATTGTGAAAGTAAAGCTTGTGTCACTATTCTCAAGGTAAAGAATAGTAATCTTTTGTTTATCAACCTTATCAGTATACTACTATATGATGTAAATGTTTTTTTTGTTTTCCCAGGCTATAATCAAGCCTCAGTATGTTGACCATATTCCCAAGGCTGTCCAAGGGAATGTGGGGCAAGTGCTTGATCAAAAGGACGAGAGAGATATGAAAGAAGAACTTTGTGTTGATCTCGAGTTGAATCAGGTTTTGGACCGCAATGTTGGAGATTTATCTGGTGGGGAGCTTCAACGATTTGCCATTGCTGTTGTTGCTATACAGAATGCAGAAATATACATGTTTGATGAGCCATCTAGTTACCTGGATGTTAAGCAGAGGCTTAAAGCTGCTCAAGTTGTCAGATCTTTGCTCCGGCCCAACAGGTTCTGTGGTGTCCTTGTTTCTATTTTTTGCTCAGCACATTAGTACCCTATTTACTTGTACTAATGCTTATAGCCATCCCTAAGGCCCTAACTGGATTGGGATTT